TACATGTGTAAACTAAACAAAATAAATAATATATAAAAAGTAATTCACCAAAGTGTTCGATGGAGCGTGTTAAATATAACATTGTATAAATGTTAAAAGAAAGAGCTGCCTGCACATTTCATAAAATAATATCTTCAAACGTTATTTTCTCATTAAAACTTAATATTTGTGAAAAAAATTGTGGGTTGAAACGCAATTTAAACATTTAAATGTATGGTTGACTGAACACCTTAATACGTTATTGTAACGTAAAATTTAGGCACTATTAAAAATCACATTTAAATTAACGTTGTTTTAACGTTTAAATTAAACATTTAAATATATGGTTGACTGAACCTCAATACAACGTTATTGTAACGTAAAAGTTAGCCACTATTAAAAAGCATATTTAAATTAACGTTGTTTTAACGTTTAAATTAATTTGTGTAAATTTATACCAATATCAAACCGTTGCTTTTTCAACGTTAAACGTTTTATTGACCTGGAATTATTCAAGTAATCACATCCTTCATTTTCCGACACATGTTTTGAAACACCCTGTATAAATATATAGGTATATATATATGACGCGGAAAGCTAAGAGGGTATATAAATAACGGAGCTCACTTTACGTCTAACTCGCAGCAGAGCAGCAACAGCAGCCCAGGAGATAAGACCTGGAGATGGTACATGAGATTATACCGAAATGTCGTCAGATATACGGTTCTTTTAAGAACCAAAAATCGACAACACAGGGCAGATCCTGAAAAACCACCAATACATATAACGCCCGTGGAAATCTAAAGCAGAACATATATATATATAACATCTTCCTTAGCTGAACACGTCCGAAAAACTTCCCATGAAATTGACTTTGAAAAAACAAGGGTCTTGGCTAGCATCGAACACAGGACCAAACGTACCATCCGTGAAGCCATTGAAATAGAAAAACGTCCAAGAAACCTCAACACAAGAGACGATACAAAAAGACTACCAACTGCATGGAAACCAGCTCTTACAACCACCAAAATCCCACGCAGATTAACGAGATCAATTGAGCCGAACATAACACAGGTTCAATCGCAGTCACGGTTAATGACGCGGAAAGCTAAGAGGGTATATAAACAACGATCAGCGGCAACGGAGCTCACTCAGCAGAGCAGCTGCGAGTTAGACGAGGAGTGAGCTCCTATATATATATATATATATATATATATATATATAAACTTAAGGAAAAAATTAAAGGATACTGGCGATTCTCTTTAAAATTCCATTTGAACTCTTCAGAACTCCCTCGTATATTGTAGTATATTTATTTATATTTATGTTTTCATAACTAGTACATTTTTTGCTAATATAATATGAACAAAAAAAAAATCAAGAAACTTTAAGTGCGTTTTATCGCATTATAGTCAGTTTAATTTCTGTATTTAACGGTGCCGGTTAGAAACAATTATTAGTTATCAATATGGTTCGACGATTTTTAAACCAAATGAAAGCAAGCAGGGCAGTTGGTATGCTTTCAGCTGGTGTCCGACAGGTAGATGTGGCTGGTCATTTTGGAGTGTCGCAAAGTGTTATTAGTCGACTTCAAACTCGTTTTAATGAGACTAATTCTGTAGTCAGACGTAGGGGACAGGGAAGAAGAAGAATTACTACCGCAAGAGAAGATCGTTTTTTAACTATTAATGCGAGAAGACATCCCACAACTCCTTCCACAAGTCTGAGAAATCAACTTCGTGCATTTACTGGACGGAATATTACGGCCAGAACAGTTCGAAATCGCTTACATGAAGTTGGTTTAGCTTCTAGAAGGCTTATGCGTGGAGTTCCTTTGCAGCCACATCACAAGCAGCAACGACTAGAATGGGCTCGTCTTCACATAAATTGGGGTCCTGAATGGAACTCAACTTTTTTTACCGATGAGAGTAGAATTGGTATTCATAATGACTCTAGACGTATTCGAATTTGGAGAACTCGAAGAACTCCCCGCCATTGCGCTGCTGTTCAAGAAATACATCCTTTCGGAGGAGGGTCAGTTATGATCTGGGCTGGTCTAAGCTATGGAAGACGTACGCCACTGTACATTGTTGAGGGTAATATGACTGCAAACCTATACCGTGAGGATATTATAAATGGTATAATTGAGCCACTAGCGATTGAACTTGGAGATAGGTTTATTTTTGTGGATGACAATGCACGTCCACATAGGGGAAGAGTGGTACTTCAAGCTATAGAGGATGCCCAAATTCATCACTTGCCATTACCACCCTTATCACCGGACCTCAATCCTATCGAGCATGCTTGGTCGATGTTGAAAAGGGCCCTTGAAACGCATCAACCACCTCCTACAACTTTAAACGAATTGAAGGAAGTTTTACCGGATTTGTGGAACAATTTACCTCAAGAACATTTAGATAATCTTGTATTAAGTATGCCTCGTCGATGTAGAGCCGTTTTGGAAGCAAGGGGCGGACATACAAGATATTAATAGAAAATAATATGTTTCATATTTCGTATCATTAAAAAATTTTTGTTACTATACTGTTGTTTCATTTAATTCACAATATAAAAGCAATTATTCTTATTCACAATTGATAGATTTATTGGAGTTATAGCGAAAATAGCTTAAATTATTGGTTTTTTCATTAAAACTTTTAATATCCTTTAATTTTTTCCTTAAGTTTATATATATATACAGGGTGGGCCAATGGAAAGTTTCCACCCCGGTTATCTCAGGTGTTACGAAAAATAATAAAAAACGCTCGCACCCGTTGATTTCTGATTTGAGGGGGAAAATTTATTTTTATATTTTCAACCCCTTAACTTCAACCCCTAAGCGTGGGTGATAGTTACCCCCAAAATTTAAATAGGAAAGGGGGGTCGAGTGATACTTCATTTTGAAGGTATTTTTGCCCTGATTATACCCTCCAAGTTTGAACTCGCTGCTAGCATCCCCGTGGATATGACAGCTTGTTAAAATCTTGGAAATAGATCACGTTTTATTATAAGTAAAAACAATACTTACCTTCCTTAATAAAAATATCTACTAATTAAAGTTTTAAAGTTTTATTATTATTAATAAAAAGTTATTTACATGATATTTATTTAATAAACTGTTCAAAATGTCCTCCATTAACATTCATGCAAAAATAAAATCGATTCTCTACCTCTTCTCTAACATTCTGCAACATATCGGTAGTTATCCTTTGACACTCTTCAGTTATTCGTTCTTGTAGAACTTGAAGAGAAGCTGGCTGTGTTTTATAAATTTTAGACTTTAAATGGCCCCATAGAAAGAAGTCCAGAGGTGAAAGATCAGGGGACCTTGCAGGCCACTCAATAGGTCCTCTTCGGCCAATCCAATGGTCTCTAAAATTTTCATTTAAAAATTGCTGAACGGGTGCTGCATAATGCGGTGGGGCTCCATCTTGTTGAAAAAACATTTCATTTTGCGACAAGTTATTATCTTCAGCAATAACTTCCCTTATTCTAGGAACAATATTTTCTTCAAGTAAAGTCAGATACATAGCCCCAGTCAAATTGCCTTGTAAAAAGAATGGTCCAATTATGTTATTGCCTAGAATACCTGCCCAGGCATTTAACTTTTCAGGATTTTGAGTATGAGACTCTCTAAATAAATGTGGATTTGAATCGCTCCAGTATCGACAATTATGTCGATTGACTAATCCATGTAAAAAAAAGGAGCATTCATCTGAAAAGCAGACATTATAAAGAAAATTTAGATTGCCAACACACCGTTCACTCATTTCTTCTACAAATTGTAATCGTCGATCATAATCATCCTCATTAAGTTCGTGAAGCAATTGTATCTTTTAGGGGTAAAATTTGTGAACCTTCAAAATTCTCCTTACGCTTGTTCGTGATATGCCGGAAACTTCGGACAATTGCCTAGTACTTAAGGTGTTATCCATTGCAATGTGCCCTATGACTGCGATTTGCATACCTTCATTCCTAACGACACGAATCGGATTATCTTTTTTGTTCTCCACTGTTCCAGTTTCCAAAAACTTTACCATCAGTTTCCTAATATAAGTATGAGAGACATTTTCCTGATGTCTTTCATTAAATAGTCGTGCTGTTTGTCTTGCACAGTCATTGTTTTTGAAATAAGTATAAACTAATTCAACTCGCTCGGCTATAGTGTATACCATAATTAAATTTAGTTATAAGCTCTTGAACTAACGATAATAATCTTAATGATGATTGTGCGCAATATTTTGTAAATAAAGTTTACACTTTTTTCTTCAAACGTAAAAAAACTGATGTTTTGCTAATATTTACTTTATTCCTTCGGCATACCTACAGACTGTCTCAAAAGTATCGCTTTTACTCTTACTAAAATAATAGCCAATTTTCAAGATTTTAACAAGCTGTCATATCAATAGGGATAATAGCAGCGAGTTTAAACTTGGAGGGTATAATCAGGGCAAAAATACCTTCAAAAAAAAGTATCACTCGACCCCCTTTTCCTATTCAAATTTTGAGGGTAACTTTCACCCCCGCTCAGGGGTTGAAGTTAAGAGGTTAAAAATATAAAAACAAATTGTCCCCCTCAAATCAGAAATCGACGGGTGCGAGCGTTTTTTATTTTTTTTCGTAACACCTGAGAAAACCGAGTGGAAACTTTCCATTGGCCCACCCTGTATATATATATATATATGTATATATGTGTATATATATACTATGTAATTAGTTTAGTAGTTCCTAAGTTAGTCTAAAATTATCGGCTTTTCAAATTAAAAAAAATATTCATAGGTTTAGGCTTTCCACGGTTATTTTATTTTTTAATTCTTATTTTTTATATAAAAAAAATATATTATTTAAAATTGAAAGTCAAATATCTCGAAAGCTAGGCCAGCATGAAAAAATTCCAAAATGCGTATTCAATTTTTTTTTGGTAAACTATCAATTCTGGTCCACACCCGGCTACTTTTTTGTTGCACATTGTTATTAATGTAGATATTTCATTATACTAAATTCCTTTATTTTAATTTTAGTTGGATGTATACTCAGCACAAAAAAGACGCAAAAGTACTTATTCACAAAACTGACGCAGAACTAGGAAAAAACGAGCTGAAAAACTCCATTGTTAAGGATATTGTTTTAACGGCACAGCCAAAGGAAGTTTCTCTAGGATCCCCAATTTTAAAATCTTACAAATTAACAAAAGAAAATGGAGTTCTGAATAATGCATTTCAAATGGATTCCTAAAAAATTTTAAAAAACAGTTGTATTTATTTTACATATCTTAGATACTTAAGATTAATAGATCGTTTTTAATTTGCAGTGATATTACTAATTTTCGTGACGACTTTCATGAAATATATAGCTCTACACGTTTTATTTTGTAATTTGACAAAACATTGCTGCAAAAAAATAAATAATGCCTGTGGTATTAGTCTTTATGTGATAAAATATTTTTAATTAGTTGATTTTATATTATATAAGAGTATTATTTAATTATTATAAATAAATAAACTAAAAAAAACATTACTGCCCATATGAGTTATTTCAGATAGAACTATAATCCATCTAAAGGATGTCTTATTGTGATTTATGTCAGAATTTTGAATAAAATGTATTGAATTTAGATCTCTAAAAATTATAATTATTATCTTTTGTAAATAAACTGAATGTTTAACAAATTATAAATAATCCAAAAATAGTGGTACTTTTTTAATTATAATTTTTACCAGTTAAAAAATACACATTTTTGTTAAATTTATGTTGAACCTTATACTTAACATGTAAAAAAATCCAATTGGTTCTATTTAGAAATCGACTATGTTGTCTAATGTAAAATACCTTTAAAATATTAATATTATTATCCCTGCGCATTCGCCATTTTTATAACTTTTAGATTTAAATATAATATAATTTGATTGATATTATAATATAATAGCACATGGCAAATCTGTGGGTAAAAAGCATAAGGGGATAAGTCAAAAAAAGCAATTTTTCGGTAGAGACTTAAACGTGTTCGCATTAATTCAGGAAATATATTTATGGTTAGCGAGTATACCCTTTTGCTAGCATATGACATGTGCTGGCAAAAGGATATACCCGCTAACCATAAATGTATTTCCTAAATTAATGCGAAAACGTTTAAGGCACTACTAAAAAATTGATTGTTTTGACTTATCCCCTTATGCCTTTTACCCACAGAAATGTCCCAACAATGAAAATCAGCACAAAAGATTTTTATCATGAAGTTTCATTAAAAAATAAATAATAGAAAAAATAAATCTAAAACAGCATATTACTTGCCTTTAGTAAACGCAAGTCCAAAAACAACATTCTTAACTTCAACTTTTACAATTAAGCTACAGAAGGTGTTAAAGTTAAAATATTCATTATTTATAATTATTAAAATTAAAATTTCACGATAATAGTATATTATGTATCAAGTCCGATAAACGCCATTTTAGACACGAATTTAATTAAGGCACGAGCTTGTGAGCGAGTGCGTAAATTAATAAGTGTCTAGAAAAGTTTATAAACGAGGTGCATACCATACTTTTTCTACGACAAATACTATCTAAATAAATATCTTAAAATGATTTAAATCAAATAATTGTATAGAGCGCCATCTATAAAACAATGGGGGAATCTGTGTTACAGTCAAATTTCAATTTTTTTATGTGTTATAAACACAGATTATAAAGGTAATAAATCGAAATGTATTCCCTGAAAATGGATTAACAACAGTTTTCCACAGTGAAGGTAAATATGAGCACTTCACAGTGAAGTCCGAGGCTGAATTTAAGTTATAGTTTACAATGTTCAAATAAACTTTTTTCAAATATTAGCGTTGAGAAACTATTTATTACTTTTGTATTTTTGTATCGAGATATTAAAATAATTTTTCACATTCAGTATTATTTTACAAGAAAGGCACTTACTTTCAACGATTGTATGACATTTGACAACTGTCAACTAAATTAATACTAACTTCAGCCTGTGACTAAAAACCTATTGCTAACTTCAGCCTATGACTGAAACGCGATAAAGCCACAACTTTTCAAAGTGTATTTTAAAGTTCATTTAGTGTCATAAAAACATGTACCATAATGGGCGTTTTAAAGGTGGAAGTAAAAAAAACTATTTATATTTCGCCAAAATTATATAAATAATATAATATAAATATAAAAACCGGGGGCGAAAGCATATTAATTTTCTCGCACATAATCCACTACCTCGGCTATCGCCTAGGTATTAAAATGTATGCTCGGTGATAATTTGTTTTCTCCGCCTATTACTATGAAATATTTCTACAACATTTAAAAAAGTTAATTTTTTATATGCGTCTGAAAAACTTTACAAATCGCGACGTGCGCAAATGTAACATTGTCAACTAAGTTTAAAATAACTTCAGCCCGTGACTAAAAACCTGTTTTTAACTTTATCCCGTGACAAAAAAGCCATACATGTCATTTAGTGTCATTGAAACATGTACGATAATGGGCGTTTTAAAGGTGGGAGTAGAAGAACATTATTAAAATAAATATTATTTAATTATAAAACCATTAATCTTGACATTTTGCTAAAATTTTAAATTCGCATATCTCATTAAATGTAAATTTTTGTGTTTTGTCGAAAACTGAATTTCCTACAAAAAATGTATTTCTTCTAAAGTCAACAGTTTTTGATATCATTTTAAATTATATTTTACTGCTAAATTAAATTTGGGTTTTTGCGAAAAAGGGGCCAAAAGGCCAAAACTAGATTAGAGGAAAGTCGCCTATTATGGAGTTTATTCCTAATATGGGGTAGGCATGTATCTTTGAAACCAAACTGGATACATCTATGTTTTATTAAACAAAGCACACCTACTAGGCTTGTATGCATTTATACTTAATATTAAAGCCATGTACCGATCAGCTGTTCTGTCATTTTTATTTATTCCTTTTAGTGGTGATATAAATTTTAGCTAGTGCTTATTAAAACTAAATTCAAGGTAAGTCCTGGCTATTTGTTATTTATAGATTAATAGTAGGATTGTTAATATGTACCTATTTTGTGCATATAGGCAGCGGCGTAACTAGAAAAGTGCCGCCCGGGGCAGCTGTCGCCCTCATGGTTTTTTGGGGGCGGTGGAAAGAGAGGTTAGGTTAGGAGTCAGTTTTGAGGACCGTACGAAAAATAAAAATATATAATTATTGTAACATTAAATAGTAATATTTTAAGAATTAAAAACAAACAAAAATTCTTAGACCTAGGTAAAGAAAAACAACAAATAAAATGTGCTTTAACATAATTTATATGAAAAAACAAAGAAATAAATTCTTAACCTCATGTAAAAATACAAAAAAATCCTAAACCTGAGTAAAAAATAAAAAAATATTTAAAAAAAACAATAGATAGGTACATTCTTCATAAACAAAACAAAAATTATTTAACATTTAGCATAAAACAGGTGAAAAGGACATTAAACAAGTAAAACCTTTCTAATTTAGAGAAACTTCGCTCACATGTTACGTTAAAGCTGGTCTCCACCAAATCAACATTTGTCGGCGACCATGTCAAATTAAAGTCGCCGACTTTGTTTCGTTTCCCGTCGAGAAGCGGCACATCAAAGAAAAAGCAGCCCCGCGATAATGTTTACAGATGGGTCGAAAAACGTCTCCACCGAATTAGATGCAATTGGCCGTTCGTGCGGTGCACCGCAGTCGTTCCACATGAACTTTTCCATTTTTAGTCGATAAATAAAGTCGGTAACAATAGCAACAAAAGTTGGTGACAATGTCGTCAACTTGTGTTGCTTTGGTGGAGATACACATAACGTTAAAAATAATTTAAGGCTTAAAAATAGAATGGGGATAGAATCGCAAAGATCATATTTTACAATAAATTTGAGCACGTCAAGGCAAGTCCAAGAAAAATATATATCTTGAGAAATTTTAGCGGCACACAGATATCGCCTTAGCTTCAAAATATCCTTTACGATAGTATCTCCCTCTGAGGAGGAAAATTCTTCGTACTGACTAACTCCATCTGAAGACGGTCAAGGCATTCAAATAACGCTCGTTTTAGTTCTTCCTCGGTTGAAAGTCCAGCATCACTTTCACATTTTCTCCAGGAATAACTTTCTTCTTACGTGTTCTTTTAACTATGGAGATATCAAGGTTAGTGCAAATTTGCTTTGTAGAATCTATGGCTTCCTGCACGAGTTTTTCTCTACTGTCTTTTAAGAAGATATCAAATTTGTTTATCTTTATATCACATTTATTAGAAATTAAGTCTGTAAATACTTTTGGGTTTCATCACCTCTTTTAAAATTTTTGACCAAAAGTGCAAATAAGTAATAAAGGAAAAATCACAAACTGCAGGCAATAACAACTGAGCTGATTGCCTTGTGTCAAGATTTTCATTTTCCAAGTCAGTCAAAGATTCAATTGCATCAATCAACTCTGGTAGCTTCTTTTTTACTACTTTTTCAGCATCATAGTGTGCACTCCTTCGAGTTTCGGATAATCTTTTAATTAAGACACCTGTTTTTTAAAGTTATACATCCCATCTGTGGGTGGAAGCAGAAAAAAGTTATAAATACTTTCCAAGGTACCAAAAAATGTTACGCTAGTAGGTACGGTAGAAAAAGAGTGAACACCGCAGAGGTTGAGGGAGTGATTTGAGCAGGCTATGAATACCGCTTTATGATTTATTTGTTTGATCCTTTGCTGTACTCAGAAATTAATTCCAGCCATTGTTGAAGCATTATCATAGCCTTGCCCTCGACAATTTGCGATATTTATATTATCTTGCTGCAGTTCCTTTAAAATATTATCCTTCGCAAGCAGATAATACATACTTATCCAACTTAAATTTTTCAATGAATCTTGTAACTGAAGAAGATGTAATTAAAGTCATGGAAAAGTTATCTAATAAATTTACGACTGGTGATGATGGTATTCCTAGCTTTATTGTTAAAGATTGTAGATTTGCACTTGCAAAGCCTATAACAATAATTCTTAATATGTGCATTAGAAAATCTACATTCCCACAAAAATGGAAAACGGCGCGTGTAGTACCTATTTTCCAGAAAGGCGATAAAACATTAGTTGAAAATTACCGACCTATATCCATTCTATCAAATTTTTCAAAGATATTTGAACAAATTTTATACTCCACCATATATTTTAATACCAAACAACGTATCTCACCCTATCAACATGGATTTGTTGTAGGACGATCAACAGTTACTAATTTGGCATCTGTCACCCAATATATTTCTAAAGTTTTATATAGGCGTGGACAGGTCGATGTGATCTACACTGATTTATCGAAAGCTTTTGATAACATTAGTCATTCTATTTTAATACAGAAACTTAATGGTTTTGGGTTTTCTTCTAATTTCGTAAAACTTCTTAAATCATACTTGACTAATCGAAAATGCTACGTTAGTTATAATGGTTTTTCTTCATGCTCTTTTACTGTCAGCTCTGGAGTACCCCAGGGATCCAATCTAGGTCCACTTTTATTTAATTTGTACATTAATGACTTACTAGCATCACTCTCTTGTCTTACTTTGGCCTATGCAGATGACATTAAAGTCTATAAAAAAATATCTACACCTTTGGATGCTGAATTGTTACAGCGAGACCTTAACACAATTTCCTTATGGTGCACGAAAAATTCATTAAAACTCAATGTTGAGAAATGTGTTGTGGTCACATACACCAGAAAACAGGATCCTTACTTACCAGTATAAGATCGTCAACACGGAATTAAGAAGACAGAATGAGGTAACTGACATGGGCGTCTTGTTTGATCAAACACTTTCTTTTGTACCACATATAAACAATGTTTGTTCAGCAGCCGGAAGGTCATTGGGATTTGTTATTCGATCCACAAGAGATTTTGTAAATGTTTCCTTAATAAGGTCTCTTTATATGTCATTTGTAGCAAGCAAGCTGGAGTATGCAAGTTTGATCTGGTACCCAATATACACATGCCATCGCATAAATATTTATAGAGTTCAAAGAAGATTCTTAAAATACATGTATCTCTTAATTTATGGAACGTACCCAGAACAAAATGCTAACCTGGACAGTATTATGAGTGAATACAAAATAATGCACTTGGACACAAGGCGAGATTTGCAAAGTGCACGTTTTTTAACGAAATTGGTAAGGGGTACAGTTGACTGCGAATACTTACTATCGAAGATTCAGTTTCATGTTCCGAGAAACAACTCAAGAACTTCTGTCTCCTTTCAAATTCCCACTGCCAGAACAAATATTTTATCAAGGCACCAATAACAACCATGTGCAAAAATGGAAATGAGCTATTAGTTGATATATTTAAATAATAAGGATATTGTTTTTTTTATTTTTTTATTTTATTTCTTAAGTTTTTGTATTGTATGTTCGATATATTTATTTTAAATATGTGTTAATATATGTTGGGCAATAAAGATTAGTATTATTATTATTATTATTAGTATTATTATTATTATCTGCTATATCTTTGGCGTTTTTTTCATCAAGTACCTTAAAAACGACTTTAGCTTTCAGTATGCTATATGCTATGGTGAATTTTCGTGATCCGATACTTTGGGGTTTAGCTTCCACCAATCATTGAATCTGGTGATTAATTTAGATTTGCATTTATCTTGGTCAATTGAAAATAATCGGCAGCAAAAACAAAAAAGTTTTTGCTTGGATATTGAATAAATCATCCAATTTCTTAAAAAATTTCTTGTAAAACCAAGTTGTCGACAAATTTCGTTTTGAACCTTTGAGGTTGTCTCCTCACATTACAACAGTAGCAAAGGGTCCCTTTATTTTGAAAATATCCTCTTCCTTTTTTTATCATTTCGTGTCTAAAATTTTTAGGAAGAGGCAGAGGCCAGTTACCGATGTCCTTAAAAATATTTAAACATTCTGAAGTTTCCTCTGGATCGAGAGTATCAGAAATGTCGTCGGGGGCTGTAGTATCTTTGTTTTTATTCTCAGTTTCACTAGTGTTGCTGAGAAAATTTGTATCACTAGCACGTAAAACTTATTTTTCTTTTTCAGAGGGATTAGAAGTTCTACAGGTTTCGGCCTCTTTGCTGTTTTTTTCGTTTTCACTAATGGCTCTTGTAGGATTTTTTTTCTACGGGGGATGAGACGGTCGTAGAAGAACTAGCTCCCTCTAGCGATTCTGAACACACGTTAGAGGAAGAAATGTTTGGCGAAACAAACTGAAGAATAGAGCCAGACATAGCCTCACGTTTTGCTCTATTCATTTTCTAGCTTTACGGCTTTAAAATCCACTGGGCTTTATTCGTTTCATAATTTACCTGCAAAAAAGTTTACCTAATGTATATCTTCTATTTTTGAATTTTAATTAAATCTTCTATTTCAGAAAAACAGGACAGATCTGACCTTAAGTGTCGGCACCTGAAGATCCCCGAAGTAAATTCAGTACAAGATGGCGGCGGCTCTCAAGACTTTCTTGCCAGAAAACGTCCAAATATATCTCTTTAATGAATTTCCAGAATATTAAAATTTAAAAAGAACTTGAGGAAACAACCTAAAAAAAAACCCTATAAAAAAATATTATTAAGTTACAACCCTTAACTTTACATACAACATACCTTCAATGAAGGGTTTTTTTCCTTTTGAGATAAATTCCAAATGAAAAGTTTTAAACTTATTTCTACAAATAAAATTAATTAGCGGAATTGAAGGAAGAAGGCAAATAAAATGACTTACTGCGATGGTAGGTATCAGCTTTTAAGCTTTCAAAGCAAAAAAACTTCAATTCAATTGGTAACCCTAGATGATGGATGGCTACGTGGTTAGTTTTGGTAATCTTGAAAAATCCAGCAAACGCTGTAGGAATCGAGATCGAAAATCAACAAAATCCAACACACTCTCTTCCTATATAAAAATATCGTGGCACTTAAATTCCTTCAAAAAGGTTAAATTCAAAAATTGCACAACGATAAAGATTCACCAAAGGACTGATTTTCTTCTAGAAGACTTCCCCGACCTTCTTTAGACATGCGCGAATATTATCATAAACAAATTTTAATTTACTAATTATCTAAAATTTAAAAAAAAATGAGATAATAGGAAAAAACCACACAAATTTTACCACCATAGAATATTAAACACCAAAGAAAAAGAACCCATAGATATCCTGGGTTACAAAAATGCACCAATAAGAAACGATCCAATTAACTGCGCTAATCAAATACCCAACTATTGTTCATGATATGGATAAATATTTTATTGTTATTAATTGTTAGGGAAATAAATCATTATGGACTGTAATCGTCAAAAAAACACAGTGATTTTTATGCAAAACAAATGACAGTAAATAAACCAAATTAAACCACAAAATGTAAGTATCAACCAACAATAACTAAAAATATTACTGAAAATAAGCATCAATTGAAAATGAAACATTTAAGTATTTTCTCGATTTTTATGTAAGAATGTCATATTCTCGCACGCAAAATCGTTGAAGAATGAAGCTCATTCTTAAACGATTTTTGGTAACATTTAGTTTTTAAGTATTGGTACCCCCAAAATGTCAAACTGTTTAATAACCTCAAATTCATTACTTTTAGGATTATTTATAATAGCTTTGTTTGTTATCCTGCACTAGTGCAACCTGAACTACACTTTTATTGAAAATGAAGCCTTTATTATTGTTTTGTTATATTAAGTTTGCTCCAACAATGCATTTTAATGCAAAATTAATTAAGTTTAATGTGAAAAAGTGCAGTTCAGGATAACAAATATTGACAAATAAATGAGCCAGACAGGTCAATCAAACTATATTTTATTGGAAATATTATATACCCACAGTACACAAAACACAAAACTACTATAAATTAATCACTAGCACAATTGTTATAAACTTTTATTGTAATGTTCAGTGTTGCTTGTAAAACCTCCTGTGACATTTTTCACTGCTAAAAGTAAACACAATTGTTCAAAAATATCAGAAAACATTAAAAAATAATACAATACTTACACAAAACCTTATTATCCAGTTGACAAATACAGACAGATTATAATAATTATTAATAAATAGTAAATAAAAATAAATCTACCTGTCCATGCAACTGTCATTTTGTGTTGCCAACTGACATTTTGCGAGAAAAATCCCCCAACTAACAACGACCACAAAACATTTAAAAAAACCTAAATAAAAGTTAAAATCGAGAAAATAGTATAAATCACACGTTGCAGAAGGCTATTCTCGCACTCATTCGTTCGTCCACTCGCTCCTTCGTCGCTCGAGGCCAAATTTCGAATTCGTGCGAGAATATGTGGCCTTCTGCAACTTGTACTTTAATATACTATTCCATCACAATCTAATAGGTACATCTTTGTATAATTTTCAGGAACCTATAGGTTCTCTATAGAGAACACTGTTGTCGATCAAAATCATCGTGCCAAGCGATCGAATTGGAGCATCCATATAAAGGTAGGTAAAGTGACAAATGGCAACTACTGCCTATTAATGTAATATTTCCTGTTTACGCAAAATTTCCATTGATAGAATTTTACTTTTCACTGAAAAGTTTTCAGATTAAAATTCACGAACTCCAAAGGAATTTAAAGAATGTATGACGTCACAACCAAAAAACATAGAATTTATAACTTAAATAAATTTATTAAATAAACTCTATTTACAAAAAAACTGGTTGCTTTATTATTTAAATTTTAAAATTCCCAAGATTATATTTATTTTTTTTCTCAAAATATTTCATTACTGAAATTTAAATGTTACAAAATTTAAAAAAGTTTTTGGATCCAGCCACGGTTTGAACTCGGGTCTTTCGATTATCAATCGCACGCCTGGACCAAGGGCTACTTCTACAAAATTAAGCTGTTTTAAGCTAAACTTTTTGCAGATTTGTTTGTTTTTATGAGCCATAATTCGCTGTTGGTCGCAAGAATTAAAAACGATTAAAGAAATTAGATACTTTTTACTTTTAGAAACAGTCAAAGTTACTTACCTATCTTAAATTAGTCAAACTTTAACTATTTACGTAGTAGAAAATAAGTATTTAAAAGTGAATACGACTAATCTTTTAGTAAAAAATGCTGGTACTGATTGAAATAGTAGAATTTTGACTATTTAATTTTAAGAGAGCACGCTAAAGTGGTGACCCCCACGTGATCGTGAACATTCATGAATGTTATTTCGTGTGTAAACGTGTGGGGAGCATAGTAAAAACAATAACACGCTTCTCAACTATATCGAAGGCTTTTGCGTGACAAAATGGTGACGATCACAGCCTACAATAGTGACCACTAGGGTTGAGCGAAAATTTACATTTTCGAAATGCAAAGTAGGGTAGTGTGCAATAGTTGTCCATTGTGACAACAAATAACATATTAAAAGCGCAATTAAATCAGAAATACTTTAGAGGTTCCCCAAAGGCATTGAAATTTCACATTAAGAAGCATATAGACTAAATAGGCAAATAGTTGTTATTTAATGCATATATTATTTATTATGCTTGACAACAGTGTATTTATGTTTGACAACAGTGTATTTATATGTTTAAGGTAATTTGGAATGGGAAAATAGTGGGAGTAGTCTGGCTACTGTAGCTTGCTTTGATCATACAAGTCAGTACGTGTTACCGGGCGATTTCGTATGGTACGCTTTTTTCTTTTTCGTTTACTTTTTAACGTATATTTTGTTTTTACTATTCTCGCGATGCCAAAAACAAGGAAAGATACCTTTTGTGTAGTGTTTGGTGCACCAAAAGAACTGCTCGAATTAATGTTACCTTATAGTGATGTTATGAGACATTTTTTATGGATAAGATATCAGTTAAAACTAACTTCTAAAAAGGAACCAAATGCTTGCGAAATAATAGAACTAGTGGCAAAAAGTCTTGAAGAACTTTGGGTTAAGGCTTCCTTGCCCGTTTTGTCACATAAAAGAATTACTGATATGTTAAAAGCATATTAAAAAAATATCAAACTTTAAAGAAACCATTAAAAAATAGAAATCCTGATGCAATTTCCGAAAAAATAAAAGTATTTCAAGACCATGCAAATCGTACACTTTTTGATATAACTTCATGTAAATGCAAAATAAAAGTTCCTCTAAAAGAGAGGATTTTTTTTACTAGACCAGCGTAGTAAACGTAAAATGGCAATTAGTTCTGTAGATGTAATGGAAAGTAAGAAAATAGAAAGAAAAATAGCAATGAAATTAAAAGATACGCCTAAAATAATCAGAAAACCAAGACAAACAGAAACGGTCACACAAGACGTTACTTTGCAAGAGTCTGATCTTTCCGATTCTAACTCGGATGTAAAAGATGCTTTAGAAATTGTTAAATGTTAATCAGTTGCTTCAAGTTCTCAGTCATGTAAAAATATTGGACAAATGAGAATTTTCTCACTAAAACTAGCTAAAGCGTGTGACAGAACAGGTGTCTCTGATAGAGCTGCAGCCATAATAGCTTCTGCTGTTTTGGAAGATCTTAATATAGTTACTTCAGTCGATCCATCAAAAATAATTGACAGAAGTAAAATACTCGTGCTAGAAAAAGGCAGAGATCTAAATATGAGAGCAAAAGCAAGGAATTTGTAACGGCTTTATTCTTTGACGGTCGAAAAGATAAAACAATTGCGCAAGAGATGAGGGGAAACAAACTTCATAGAAATACTGTAATAGAAGAACACATTGTGTTGGTATCAGAACCAGGCTCAAAATATATACTATTATAGTTATATATTATATATGTCATGTGACACCGCTGCTCGGATCTGCATATAATATTAAACAAGGGATTGTGAAGTTTTTAGAGAAAAGGGTAGATTTTTCTAATTTAGTTGCCATAGGCTGTGACGGAACAGTTGTGAACACTGGAAATAAAAATGGTGCCATAAGAATGTTAGAACTCTATCTTGATCGCCCCGTTCAATGGCTGATCTGTCTTTTTCATGCAAATGAGTTGCCGCTAAGGCACTTAATGCAGAAGTTGGATGGACCTTCAACTGGACCTCATGGATATTCTGGTACCATTGGGAAAGCTTTGGAAACCTGTGAAAGTTTACCAGCTGTATTGTTTCATCCAATCCAAAGCGAAAACTTACCAGAACTTGTTCCTAATGATCTAAGTACCTACTGACCAAAAATATTTATGGGACATATGTCAAGCTGTTACTTCTGGTGTTTGCTCGGAGAGCCTAATCCATAGAAAGCCAGGCAAATTATCCCATTCCCGTTGGCTAACAGCGGCAAACAGGATACCTACTA